CACAACTGAAAAACCAGTAGGCCCGGGATGGGGAACCTTTGATGGCTCCCTCAGGAATTCTGGGAGTTGAAGTCCATAAGTGATAAAAGAGCCAAGTTTCGCTACCCCTGCCCTAGACCATTTCTGGCAAATGGCAGAAATGAAAGGAAAACAACGGCTTGTACAAAATTGGATAGGCTAATCTCTGAACTGAAAAACAAGGGGGGAATCTGATTATTACGAAACATGGGATAAGTTTTATCAGTGGTTGCAAAAAAAGAAGGGAAGGTCGGAACAGAAGCAACCAGGATGAATAGAATTAAAAAGTAAATATTGTACCAATATTATGAATGTTAATGGTCTAGTAATATTTTTACATGTATGGCAGATGTAAGGCCAAAATGGTTGTACTGTGTTGTATGCTTATAGTTGTAAACACTCTCTCTCTCTCTCTCTCTCTCTCTATATATATATATGTGTGTGTGTGTGTGTGTGTGTGTGTGTGTGTGCGTGCACGCATACACACACACACACACACATATATATATATATTTGAAAAAAATAGGATAGCCAACATGATCGCCAATGTCCGATGATGGATAGGGCATAAGAAGAAGAAGATTCAGAATAACAGAATAACTGAGTTGGACGGGATCTTGGAGGTCTTCTAGTCCACCCCCCTGCTCAAGCAGGAGACCCTGTACCGTTACAGCCAAATGGTTGTCCAGTCTCTATTTTTGAAAGCCTCCGGTGTTGGAGCACCCACAATTTCTGGAGGCAAGTCGTTCCACTGGTTTATTGTTCTATTCCAGAGGTCTCCAAACTTGGCAACTTTTAAGACTGGTGGCCTTCAACTCCCAGAATTGGCTGGGAGAATTGGCTGGCTGCAGAATTCTGGGAGTTGAAGTCCCCGTGCCTTAGAGTTGTCAAGTTTGGGGACCCCTGTTCTCTTCTAATTAATTGCCAATTTGTTCTCCGTTTCTTGGGGTTTTTGCTTACCTGGATGGGCCAGAGGGAAGATCAACAGGAATAGAAGAAGCCGCAGGACATTTTCCATCTTGGGGCTCACTTCATGGGAAAATGGTACCCAAGTGATTGGATTGGGAGATCTCGTCGCCTTTATATTCATTCGTGCACTTCAGGAGCTGTAGAAGCCAGTCTCTCATTGGCCACAAAGCCTCCATGGCGCCCTCATGCCCTCCCGAAGAAGATGCTCGCATAAACTGCAATCAGATAAAGAAGTTTTTATCTCTGTGCGGTTGGCTAGAATCGAAGTCATGCGCCAAATTTGGTAGCTCACAATCCCTGGCCTGCAGGGGTGGCTCTGCACCCCAATTTTGGAGTCTCTAGCTCTACGAGACCATAACATATCCTACGCCAAAATTTTCAGGCAAGACGGCCCATTTGTTTTTATTGCACAACATTTTTCCACGTGGGAAGCAGGATTAAGGATTGGGATGGGAAGGAGCCATGCAATTTTCAGAAAATCCCACGACCTTCCAAATATTGTCAAAACATGTGGCCAAATTGGTATATTTTGCCCAGAAAGTCAGGAACACTTGCAGACTGCTGGATTATTTTAGTTGAGTTGAGTTTAGTTTAGTTTATTATTTTACTTTACTTTATTTTGTTACTTTAATGTACTTATTTTACTATTTCATTTTGTATTACTTTTTAAATTTTATTTTGTTTTATTTATTTGCATTTTGGCAGAGGGTTTGAGGGTGACAAGGAGTGAAAAAAGAAGCATTTTAATCAAGGGTGGGCTACTGAGGGTTTGCACCAGTTGGACTTTGAAGGGTAGGAAGGGTATTGATGCTTTCAGACTTTGCAATTGGGGAAGACTGCGGGTAGTCAAGATAACAACCAATGCACCGATGAACAAATGAACCCAGAGTTCTCACTCAAGGTGACACAAATGACCAGGCTCAAATTATTGTATTTTAGACACATGAGGCAAAAGGAAGAGTTCCTTTGAGAAATCTATCATGCTGGAAAAAGTAGAAGGGAAGAGAAGAAGAGGAGAACCAGGAGCAAAGCAGATGGACTCAGTTACAGTGGTGTTGGGGACACTGTTGGAAGAGCGAAAGGACCAAGTAGGAGATAGTTATGGAGAAAATCTATCTATGTGGTTGATTTGATGGCATATCATCCATCCATCTTTCCATCCATCCATCCATCCATCCATCCATCCTTCCTTCCTCTCTCCCTCCCTTCCTTCCTTTCCTTATTTCCTACCATTTTTCCACCCACTTACTTTTCCAGTCTTTCATCCTTCCATGCATCCTCCCTTCTTTCTTTCTCTTTCCTTATTTCCTACCATCTTTCCACTCACTCACCCATCCATCCATCTTTCCATTCTTTCATCCTTCCATCCATCCTTTTTTCTTCAATCCATCAATCCATTAGCCATTCTTCCATTCTTTTATTCTTCCTCTTTCTTTCTTTCTTTCTTTCTTTCTTTCTTTCTTTCTTTCTTTCTTTCTTTCTTTCTTTCTTTCTTTTTTTCTTTTCTTCCTTCCTTCCTTCCTTCCTTCCTTCCTTCCTTCCTTCCTTCCTTCCTTCCTTCCTCCCTCCCTCCCTCCCTCCCTTCCCTCCTTCCTTCCTTCCTTCCTTCCATCCATTCATCGTCATGGATGTTCTTCCCAGTGGTGGGATTAAACATTTTTACTACCAGTTCTGTGGGCATGGCTTGATGGTTGTGGCTTGGTGGGTGTGGCAGGGGAAGGTTACTGCAAATCCCCATTCCCTTCCCACCCCACTAACCTGCTTTCCAGCTCCGTTCTCCTGTTCAGGACAACCATAGAAGATCCAGCTGATCAGCTGGGATTTGGGAGGCAGAGAATAGATGGGGATGGGGCCAGTCAGAGGTGGGATTTGCCGGTTCTCCAAACTATTCAAAATTTCTGCTACCGGTTATCCAGAACTGGTCAGAACCAGCTGAATACCACCTCCGGTTCTTCCCCTACTGTTTTTTTCAAGATACTTCATATACAGGTGAAACTCGAAAAATTAGAATATCATGCAAAAGTTCATTTATTTCAGTAATGCAACTTAAAAGGTGAACCTAAGATATGAGATAGACTCATTACATGCAAAGCAAGATAGTTCAAGCTGTGATGTGTCATAATTGAGATGATTAGGGCTTACAGCTCATGAAAACCCCAAATCCACAATCTCAGAAAATTAGAATATTGTGAAAAGGTTCAATATTCTAGGCTCAAAGTGTCCCACTCTAATCAGCTAAATAAGCCATAACACCTGCAAAGGGTTCCTGAGCCTTAAAATGGTCTCTCAGTCTGGTTCAGTAGGAATCACAATCATGGGAAAGACTGCTGACCTGACAGTTGTGCCGAAAACCATCATTGACACCCTCCACAAGGAGGGAAAGCCTCAAAAGGTAATTGCAAAAGAAGTTGGATGTTCCCAAAGTGCTGTATCAGAGCACATTAATAGAAAGTTATGTGGAAGGGAAAAGTGTGGAAAAAAAGGTGCACAAGCAGCAGGGATGACCGCAGCCTGGAGAGGATTGTCAGGAAAAGGCCATTCAAAAGTGTTGGGGACCTTCACAAGGAGTGGACTGAGGCTGAAGTCAGTGCATCAAGAGCCACCACACAGAGACTAGATCCTGGACATGGGCTTCAAATGTCGTATTCCTCTTGTCAAGCTGCTCCTGAACAACAAACAACATCAGAAGCGTCTTACCTGGGCTAAAGAAAAACAGAACTGGTCTGTTGCCCAGTGGTCCAAAGTCCTCTTTTCTGATGAGAGCAACTTTTGCATCTCATTTGGAAACCAAAGACCCAGAGTCTGGAGGAAGAATGGAGAGGCACACGCTGCAAGATGTTTGAAGTCCAGCGTGAAGTTTCCACAGTCTGCGTTGATTTGGGGAGCCATGTCATCTGCTGGTGTTGGTCCACTGTGCTTCATTAAGTCCAGGGTCAATGCAGCCGTCTACCAGGAGATTTTGGAGCACTTCATGCTTCCTTCCGCAAATGAGCTTTATGGGGATGCTGACTTCATTTTCCAGCAGGACTTGGCACCTGCCCACACTGCCCACAGCACCAAAACCTGGTTCAATGACCGTGGGATGACTGTGCTTGATTGGCCAGCAAACTCGCCTGACCTGAACCCCATAGAAAATCTATGGGGCATTGCCAAGAGAAAGATGAGAGACGTGAGACCGAACAATGCAGAAGAGCTGAAGGCCGCTATTGAAGCATCCTGATCTTCTATAACACCTCAGCAGTGCCACAAGCTGATAGCTTCCATGCCACACCGCATTGAGGCAGTAATTGCTGCAAAAGGGGCCCAAACCAAGTACTGAGTGCTTATACATGCTTATACTTTTCAGAGGTCCTATATTGTTCTATGTACAATCCTTGTTTTATTGATTGCATGTAATAGTCTAATTTTCTGAGATTGGGGTTTTGGGGTTTTCATGAGCTGTAAGCCATAATCATCACAATTATGATAAATCACGGCTTGAACTATCTTGCTTTGCATGTGATAAGTCTATCCCATATATTAGTTTCACCTTTTAAGTTGCATTATTGAAATAAATGAACTTTTGCACGATATTCTAATTTTTCAAGTTTCACCTGTATACTTCATAAAGTTTTATGCTGCTCAATGAAACACCAACCTGTAACTAGAATTACGGCATTCGGCATCTCTAATTCTGTGGCCTCCCAGCTGTGGACAATGGTTGCCAGTGGGGATGATGGTTCTCAGTTCTGAGTCAATCGTTGTCTACTCATCCCTCTTAGAACACGTGCAACCACAAAGGAGCCAAGCCCATTTCCATCAGACAACTGAATGTATCAAGTCTCTGTGGTTAGTTTTGGACTTAGTGTCTCTTCTGAACTGAGAACAGTGGTTTAACTGGGTTAACGGTAAGGGAAACACAGTCTTTGAGTTAATTTCATACTGGAAATCTTCTCGAAAGATGCTCTATGTGCTTTTTGCAAA